CAGCGTTCCACTCAAGCCACTCAGAAGAGGTGTAGTCCATCAGTTCTTCCCAGTTCCTTAGAGCGTCTCTGGGAGCTCTGTGCTCCCTACCCAGGGACCCAGGCACCTGACACTCCAAGCTGGGGCTCCCATGGTCTCCTTGTGTATGTATCTCCTGATGTAGTTTATATACTTTGCCCACCTCTTTCTCCTTGACAATTCAATTCCACACAGATTTATTAGGCACTTGCTGTTTTCTTTTTCTTTTATTTTTTTTGAGACAGAGTTTCCCTCTTGTCACCAGGCTGCAGTGCAATGGCATGATCTCGGCTCATTGCAACTTCTGCCTCCTGGGTTCAAGCGATTCTCCTGCCTCAGCCTCCTGAGTAGCTGGATTACTGGTGCATGGCACCACGCCCAGCTAATTTTTTGTATTTTTAGTAGAGTTGGGGTTTCACCATGTTGGCCAGGCTGGTCTCAAACTCCTGACCTCAAGCGATCCACCTGCCTCGGCCTCCCAAAGTGCCGGGATTGTAGGGGGTGACCCACCTCGCCCTGCCAAGCACTTACTATTTTCCTAACTTGACCTGGAGACACAAAGTGAAGGACACAGCTTCCTTCATCCAGCTCACAGTTGGCTCAGGGAAGCCAACTCAGAAAAGACGGGGTATTTCAATCCAAGATGGCCCATGATACGTTCTCTGATAGTGGGGGAATAAGGAAATCTCTTTTTTTGTTGTTGTTTTTTGTTTTTGAGACAGAGCCTCACTTCGTCACCAAGCGCCATACTGGAGTGCAGTGGCGTGACCTGGGCTCACTGCAACCTCCGCCTCCAGGGTTCAAGCAATTCTCCTGCTCAGCCTCTGGAGTAGCTGGGACTACAGGCGCGCGCCACCACATCCAGCTAATTTTTTTGTATTTTTAGTAGACACAGGGTTTCACCATGTTGGCCAGGATGATCTCGATCTCTTGACCTCGTGATCCACCCGCCTCGGCCTCCCAAAGTGCTGGGATTACAGGCGTGAGCCACAGCGCCCGGCCTGTAAGGAAATCTCATGTTAAAAAAATCTGTGTTGGTTTAGGATATGGTTCAGTGGGCACATTCCTATGTAGCTGGCAAGAGAGTAAATTAGAATATCAAAGGCTGGGCTTGGTGGCTCACGCCTGTAATTCCAGCACTTTAGGAGGCTGAGGAAGGTGGATCATGAGCTCAGGAGATGGAGACCATCTTGGCTAACGCTGTCTCTACTAAAAAAAAAAAAAAAAAAAAAATTAGCTGGGCATGGTGGCAAGCACCTGTAGTCCCAGCTACTTGGGAGGCTGAGGTAGGAGAATGGCTTGAACCTGGGAGGTGAGGGTTGTAGTGAGCCGAGATTGCACCACTGCACTCCAGCCTGAGCTACAGAGTGAGACTGCGTCTCAGAAAAAGAAAACAATCCAAATTGGAGAATAATTTGGCAACTCCTAGGAAGTAATCCAGCAATGGCTTTCTAAGTTTTTACTCTAGAGCAGGGCTTTTCAAGCTTTTTGACAGGTATCCTCAATAATAAATATATTGTGACCCATAACACACATACCACACAACAGATGACTTTCACCCTACTAGTTACCCTGATGATGTATTGCAAACATTGATACTTTCTAGTCAATTTTGAGTTTTAAAAATGCTGATCTTCAAGGACTAAGTTGATTTCCTATTGCATTAATGGGCCTCAATCCACAGTTTGAAGGACACTGCCCCAGAGACACACATGCATGTGCACAAGGAGACAAGAATGCTTACTGCAACATTGTTGCAATAGCAAAACTTAGATAAGTATTTATCTAAGACCTGTCACCAACAAAATGGATAAAGTAATTAAGTAATTGTGTTGTGGTCAAGAAGTAGACTATCACACATAGCTATGTATCAAAGGATGCACGGAGGGTGATAACATTTATACAAGAATAAGATCCTGCAAAGTGATATCATGCATTGTTTATGGATACATTGAAATGCCATACAAACATAAAAACCTACCTGAAATGAAACCCACCCAAATCAGGATAGTGGCTGTCTCTGGAGGGAAAGAACGTAGTTGAAGAGTGCATGAGGCGTGAGGAGCTTCAACTGAATTTTTTGTTTGTTTTTTTTTTAAGACAGGATCTCACTCTGTTACCCAGAGTAGAGTGCGGTAGCATAATCACAGCTCATTGCAGCCTTAACCTCCTTGGGCTCAGGTGATTCTCCCACTTCAGTCTCCCAAGTAGCTGGGACCACAGGTGTGCATTTTTTTTTTTTTTTTGAGACAAGGTTTTTGCCACATTGCCCAAGCTGGTCTTGAACTCCTGGGCAAAAGTGATCCTCCGGACTCGGCCACCCAAAGTGCTGGGATTATAGATGTGAGCCACCTTGCCTGGCCACAACTGAAATTTTAAGTTTTAATTAATTAATTAATTTTGAGACGGAATCTTGCTCTTGTTGCCCAGGCTGGAGTGCAATAGCGCCATCTCAGCTCACTGCAACCTCTGTCTCCCCGGTTCAAGCCATTCCTTGCCTCAGCCTCTCGGGTAGCTGGGATTACAGGCATGTGCCACTATACCCAGCTAATTTTGTATTTTTAGTAGAAACAGTATTTCTCCATGTTGTTCAGGCTGGTCTCAAACTCCCAATTTAGGTAATCTGCCCACTTTAGCCTCCCAAAGTGCTGGGATTACAGGCGTGAGTCACTGCCCCCCCACCCTTATTTTATTTTTATTTTTGACATGGAGTCTCACTCTGTTGCCCAGGGCGGAGTGCAGTGGTGCGATCTTGGCTCACCGCAACCTCCACTTCCTGGGTTCAAGTGATTTTTTTGCCTCAGGCTCTCTAGTAGCTGGGACTACAGGCACACGCCACCACGCCCGGCTAATTTTTTTTTTTAGTCTCACTGACTCTTGCTCTGTCGCCCAGGCTGGAATGCAGTGGCACAATCTCGGCTCACTGCAACCTCTGCCTCCCAGGTTCAAGGAACTCTCCTGCCTCTCAGCCTCCTGAGTAGCTTGGATTACAGGCACGTGCCACCATGCCCGGCTAATTTTTGTGTGTTTATTACAGATTGGGTTTCACCATGTTAGTTAGGCTGGTCTCGAACTCCTGACCTCATGATCTGTTCGCCTCGGCCTCCCAAAGTGCTGGGATTACAGTCATGAGCCATCACACCCAGCCTGCCTGGCTAATTTTTGTATTTTTGGTAGAGATGGGGTTTCACTATGTTGGCTAGGCTGGCCTTGAACTCCTGACCTCAGGTGATCTGCCTCCCTTGGCTTCCCAAAGTGCTGGGATTACAGGCATGAGCCATCGTGCCCCACCTAAATTTTAATTCTTTTTTTTTTCTTTACCTCTAACTCTTGGAAGGCTAAATTTTAATTCTTTTTTTTTTTTTTGAGACAGAGTTTCACTCATGTTACCCAGGCTGGAGTGCAATGGCGCGATCTCGGCTCACCGCAACCTCCGCCTCCTGGGTTCAGACAATTCTCCTGCCTCAGCCTCCTGAGTAGCTGGGATTACAGGCACGTGCCACCATGCCCAGCTAATTTTTTGTATTTTTAGTAGAGACGGGGTTTCACCATGTTGACCAGGATGGTCTCGATCTCTTGACCTCGTGATCCACCCGCCTCGGCCTCCCAAAGTGCTGGGATTACAGGCGTGAGCCACCGCGCCCGGCCTAAATTTTAATTCTTAATTAAAAAAATGAAACCAAGCCGGGCGCGGTGGCTGAACCCTGTAATCCCAGCACTTTGGGAGGCTGAGGCGGGTGGATCACGAGGTCAAGAGATCGAGACCATCCTGGTCAACATGGTGAAACCCCATCTCTACTAAAAATACAAAACATTAGCTGGGCATGGTGGCGCGTGCCTATAATCCCAGCTACTCAGGAGGTTGAGGCAGGAGAATTGCCTGAACCTAGGAGGCGGGGGTTGTGGTGAGCCGAGATCGCGCCATTGCACTCCAGCCTGGGTAACAAGAGTGAAACTCTGTTTCAAAAAAAAAAAAAAAAAAGAAACCAAATTTGGCAAAATACTAAGATTTGGCAAAGTTGGAGGAAAGGTACAGCGCACTCACTGTGTTTTTATCTATTACTTTTTAAAATGTTTCATAATAATACTTAAAAGATTGGTGCTCCAGTAACTTAGGGAAGAGGACTTTATTCAGATCTTGGGAAACTGAAAAGGGGAAGTGCTAGAGGGAGCCACAGGAGCCCAGGCACGGGCGTATGAGTGGATGAGGTCCTGGGGAAATGAGAAGGGACATAGTCTCACTCCTGCCTGGGATGCTGTGCTGACGGCTCACGCTTCTCTCAGATGTTGGTATGGTACTTTACCCATTTAACAGATGAGGACACAGGCTGAGAGAATGTCTTCTAGAAAGTGGCAGGGTGGGGAGGTCTAACCAGGCTGTAAGAGTCAGAGCCTGCGTTCTTTCTTGGTCAGTCCATAGCATGGATCCTCCTTGAGGAGCAACGGTGGTGTCTACAAGAGTGGGAGGACAGCAAGTCCTGAGGGTCTGGTGTACTGGGCTCGGGTCGTAGGCTGTTCTGTGGGCAGTGAGGAGGCATAGGAAGGCTTCAAGTAGGGAGCAGGGGAGTGAACTCACTGTAGCTGTACCATCTGTTTCTTTTTTTTTCCTTTTCTTTTTTTTTTTTGAGATGAAGTCTCACTCTGTCGCCTAGGCTGGAGTGCAAGGGTAAGATCTCAGCTCACTGGAACGTCCACCTCCCAGGTTCAAGCGATTCTCCTGCCTCAACCTCCCGAGTAACTGGGATTATAGGCATGCACTACCACGCCTGGCAATTGTATTTTTAGTAGAGACGGGTTTCTCCATGTTGGTCAGGCTGGTCTCAAACTCCTGACCTCAGGTGAGCTGCCCACCTCAGCCTCACAAAGTGCTGGGGTTACAGGCATGAGACACCATGCCCTGCACCATGTTTCTTTTTTTTTTTTTTTTTTTGCGACGAAGTCTTGCTCTGTTGGCCAGCTGGAAAGCCACCACGCTCGGCTACCATCTGTTTCTTAAACTCTGGTTTTTGTTGTTGTTTTTTAACCGACTGAACTTTTCTTGAAGCAAATTCTAACTCAGAACCAAGCATATAAAAGAGCTTACAGTGGAGCTGATTTGGCAGAAGCAGGTGACGGGGGCCCAGAGCCCTCACCTCTGAGACCTCCTGGTTGGTGGAGAGACAGAGGTTCCAAGTACTCCTAGGCTGGGGAGGGGTGGGGAGAACCAAGGCCATGTCCTTTAGTCCAGAGAGGCCTGAAGTGGAGTGACCTCCATTCCTGGCTACCACACCTCATCTGAGTTATGGAACCATCTATATGGATGTCAGGGGAGGAGATAAGTTTTCAACTTGTCCCTCTTCCTCCTCACGGTCTGGAGAGGGGAAAAGGTAACTGGGCCCAGGCTGTCAGCTTGATCAAAGCCTGATGCCCAGCAGAGGCCTGACATAACAGGCCTTCGATAAATGCTTACAGAACGAATGCATATTTTTTCCTTCTAAGTTTTGGGGAAGATACAGGTGGCATGACTTCTGGGAGCAAGTGAAACTGTCCTGGGGGCTGGCCCTTCTCAGTGAGGTTCCAGTGATCCATGCTGTGGCTCAGTTGGTGTGGGGTGGTAGGAGAACACCAGGCTGAAAATCAGAGGCTTGGTTAGCTTCTGCCTCCAGTTGCCAGGAGCCTGCTGTGTGCTCTTGATGGGTGGTGCTCCTTCTCTGGGCTTTGGTCATCTCTTTTTGGCACAATGGACTGGATGAAGTTTCTCAAACTGCAGTTTGCAACCCATTTGGAACATTTAAAAAAAGCAATTCAGTGGGTTACAATCAGCATTAAAGCAACAACACCAACACAACTCAAATAGAATAGAAAATATCAGCGGGCATCAAAGGTCATAAGAATAAGTATTGTTTGGCGAAACTATTATTTTGCTTATATATAGATGAAGGTGTGGGCTGGTCTGCTGTGAAACTTGTTACTGTTTGCCCTGGTGAAAAACAAAACAAAACTGTAAAACACGGGACTTGGCGATCCTGGAAGTGTCCTTCCCTCCCAGGTTCCTGGGGGTCTTCGAAAGAAAAATAAAAAAGAGAACCACCCCCACCCCGCCACTGCCTGGGGCTCTTCTCCTCCCAGGGTCAGCAGCTGTCTCTTTGCTCTTAGCTGTCTCCACCCCTCCCCTAGCCTCTCTTCTTCCTGCTTCAGTCACTGAGTCCCCTCCTCCCTTTCTTCCAGGGACAAACGCCCCCCCGCAACTCAGGAAGTGGGGGTGGGGGGATTTGAAGGGAGCGAATGTGATCGGATGGAGGTGGCAATGGGCACCCTATCCTAGAAGTTCAAATAAAGGACTAGAAAGCAAACACCCAAGCACCGGGAAACAGAACAGAAAGTAAGCGAGCTGTGGACGCGGATTTGAGGGCAGGACTTTGGGAGCCAGAGCCTGGCGGCGCCGCCGCAGCGGGTCACTCCCAGAGGGCCGGCACCCAGACTTGGCATCCTTAGCGCTTGGGTGCGCTATCAACTAGCGAAGGTAACTTTCTGTATTTTTTTTTTTTTTTTTTTGAAAGGAAAGACAGAAGGAGCCAAGAGTTTTGGAGCCAACTCCTGGAGAGGGAGCGGCTGAACTGATTCGGAAGTTGGATCTCTTTGTACACAGGAATGCGGAGGAAAAAAAAAAACAAAACCCACCCCATTGCTTCATTTCCCCTCCAAGTCCGAGCACTTTCTATTGTGCAATGAAAAGGCTTTTTTCACGTTGAGAAAAATGAATCCCGATTTGGCGCTGCAAAGGGATGAGCGCGCTTCTGGGCGCTACCCTGCTCTCAGCTGGGCGCGGGGACCGCGCGGTGGCCGCAGGGTGGCCGCCGCCAGGGCGCTCCAGGGCGCGTCCTCCGCGCGCGGCTCCGGGGTAGCGCCCGCTGGAGCGTTGGACTCCGGGAACCCCAAGGGCAGAGAGCTCCCCACTACGCCTGGGCCTCCCAGGTATGGCAGTTCCGCGAGCCCTCTGGACCCAGGACTCCCCAGTGCGGTGCAGGACGCCTTTGGGCACCAGGAGGGCTGGCGGCGCATTTGGCGTCCGGGAGGCCGGGACCCGGACCAGCGAGGAGCGCGGGGCGCCGGGAGGCGGGCCGGTGCACATGGGTGCCGGCAGGCGGGCGGTTGGCGGGGAAGGGGGGGCGGGGTGTGGCCTCCCCGCCTCCCAGGCGGGATTTGCATGTATCTGGCGGCCCCAGACTTCCTGCTCCTTCTACGCTGCAGGTACGCGCGGGCCGGGCCGGGCGGGCAGGAGGGCGGCGGACGCGCCCAGACTTGGGCACCTCCTCACCCGGACCCCGGGCCGCGCCGCGCCGCCTCCTGACTCCCGTGGCCACCAGCCTGCCCCGGCCGCCCCAAGCGTCGGGCTCCGAGGTGGGACGCGCCCCTCCCCGCCCCCCGGACGCCTCAGTCCTCCACACTAAGCTTGGCCACGCGCCCCTGGGCGCCCCCCACGTCCCGGGCTCCCGAGGGCCGCAGCCATGAGTGAAATGTCCAGCTTTCTCCACATCGGGGACATCGTCTCCCTGTACGCCGAGGGCTCCGTCAATGGCTTCATCAGCACTTTGGGGTGAGTAAGCCTAGCTCGAGGGGGGCGCGGGCAAAGAGGGGGCGCCGTGGGCCTTGGTGCCAGCTGCGTGCGTCCTGCCGCCGCCCTCCGAAAGAGGGCCTGGAAGTCCCCCCAGCCTCAAGGAGCGGGGAACGCCTCGCCTCCTTCTTTTAGAGAAAGGAAGTGAAGTGTTTGCTCAGGTAGGACTCGGGTGCCCTACTGGAGTTGGCAGGAGGCGCCCCCGTCGGCGCAGCCTCTACCCTCCTGCGCAAGCCTTTTGAGGGGGCAGAGGGGCCAAGACTTCCTTTGCAGGTGGTCCACGGGGCAGGTGGGTGGCTGGAGACTGAGGTGGAGAAGGGCAGCCGGGCCTGGACGTGCCAGCTCTGAGGCCAGGGCGGAGCTGTGGGAGGTAGGCAGGCTCTGCTTGGAGCCCGAAATCCTCCTTGGTGCCTTTGAGGGGTCACACCTTCTCCTCACAGCTCTCTCCCTGTTCTTCCCAGCTTCGCAGGAGTGTCTTAGCCCTCTCCTTCCAGGCTTCCAGGTCCTGGCCAGCTGCCCCTTCTCCCCGCCTCCCCCGTTCAATTTCCTGCGCCGGTCATCTGGCGCCCTTGGGTCCCTGGTTCTAGCTTCTCTCCAGCACTTCACAAACATTAATTAATTCTGGCCACCACCTCCCAGGGTCTGGGCTGGATAAACAGGGAATCAATTCATGTCCCTGGAGAGGGCCAGGCCTGTAGCAGGGATGGGGCAGGAGAGAAATTAGGCAGAAAGGATGGGTTTGTCTTCAGAGGAGCAGCTGGGTGATTGGGAGTGTGGTGTGGTTTCTCCAGCCAAGGCCCAGAGCAGGGCCTGCTGCCTTTGTCCTGTTTTCAGTCTGGGAGCCTAGGTTAAATTGTCTCATCCTCCCAACCACATATAGCTTCCCTCTAGGGGACACCTCCTTCCTCTGCTGACCCACTCAGTGGGACCAGCCAGCCTGGTGGTGCCTCCAGGGGACTTGGAGGACAACCTGGCACCCTCAGCTCAGGACAGGTCCCAACTCACCCCAAGCCTAGGAGGTGGGGGTCACCGGTCTTCCCCAGCATTTCTGGGAGTTTAGCTTTGGTCTTGCTGGAAAGGGAATGGATCATGGGATTGGAGGGCTGACTCTGTCAGCAGGGAGTTCTCACCCAGCATTCCAGCATGCCCTGGTCCCCTTCTCGCAGAACCATCCACGTCCCTCCTGGTGACCTCTCTTTCACACGTGGATTCCCTGGCTACTTGTCCCCACTTCCACTAGATCTGACTTGTTCCCAGCTCCCTAAAGGATGGGGGTGGAGCAACATCTGGGATAGCATCTGTGCAGGCCTTCTCCAGAGAGCAGTGACTAGTCTCTGGCTGCCCTGAGGCCAGGGCCTGCACATAGTAGGTACTGAGTAAACACTTCTGATAAAGCTGAGGGAAGGAGCAGAGCGTGTGGGGGTTGGGAGGGATGTAGGGAACTATTGGGGAAGTCCCCTCCTAGTGAAGAGCACCAAGGACTTTTGGGAAATGACCACCTCTGTTGCTTAGTGCCTGGCCCGGGGCTGAACACACTGTGGTTTTTAAGCACCTGTAAGGTTTTTTTTTTAGACAGGGTCTCACTTTGTCTTCCAGGCTAGAGTGCAGCGATGCGATCTCGGCTTACTGCAGTCTTGACCTCCAGGGTTCAAGCAATCCTGCCTAAGCGCTCCCAGAACTAGCTGGGACTACAGGCACACCTGGCTAATTTTTGTATTGTTTTGTAGAGATAGGGTTTCACCATGTTGCCCAGGCTGGTTTCCAGCTCCTGAGCTCAAGCAATCCGCCTGCCTCAGCTTTCCAAAGTGCTGGGATTACAGGCGTGAAACACCGCGCCCTGCCTAGCACCTGTGAGATTTAACAACATCAGGAAAAACATCTTACTGCTGCTTCCCCTGCTCTCGTGCAGGCCTCACTCTCTCCCAAGGATTCCCTCTGTTGCCTCTGTAACTTCCTTCCACCTCGGCCCTTCCCGCCCCAGGAACTGCTTCCTCCACCCACCTTGATCTTGGGGCAGGTCCTGGCGACCTCTAGAGTGCTCTTCTATGACAGGGTGCTCCCTCCCTCTGCAAACACCGCCAACATCTCCTGATTTTCCACCAGCAGGCATCCATCCTCCTAGCATGGCTTTCTAGCACCGGCCTGCGCAGGTCTGCATCATAATTTTCTTTTTTTTTTTTTTGAGTTGGAGTCTCGCTCTATCACCAGGTTGGAGTGAAGTGGCATGATCTCAGCTCACTGTAACCTCCGCCTCCTGGGTTCAAGCGATTCTCCTGCTTCATCCTCCCGAGTAGCTGGGACTACAGGCATGCACCACCAGGCCCAGGTAACTTTTGTATTTTTAGTAGAGACAGGGTTTCACGATGTTGGCCAGGATGGCCTAGATCTCTTGATCTTGTGATCTGCCTGCCTCAGCCTCCCAAAGTACTGGGATTACGGGCATGAGCCACCGCGCCCGGCCCACTGCTTCATAATTTTCTGGGGCTTTTTCCCCACACACCTGGAGCTCCGGGTGCACCGCATGACTGCAGCCTGTCCCGTGTTCTCAGTCTCTTTACCTTTGCTCTTGTGTCGTTCCTGCCCTTTAGCCAGTCTCCACCTGGGTAAATCTGTCCCACCCTCTAAGGCCTAGTGCAGAGTGGCCTCTTTTGAGAGATCCAGCTTCCCCTACCTGCAGGGCAGAATTAACCCTTTGTCCTCTGTGCTTTTGAACTGCTTTGGACAAACCACTCTCTGGTGTCCCTCACATTGGAGGCTTCCCTGTAGGCCCATCTAATGCTGGGCACCTTGCCAGGATTAACACCATTCATACATTTAGCAGGTCCACAGGCACTGTACTGGGTGCTGGGGACTTGGTGGTGATTAAAGGAGCTGTGCTTCCTGCTTCCTTGGAACTTAAGAGTCAAAGAAGGAATGATTTGTAAGTGCTGTAAATAATTAGTCCAGCAACTTCAGGGTCACCAGGAAACTTGTCAGAAATGCAGAATATCAGACCCCGGTGCCCAGTCCTACTGAATGAAAATCTGCATTTTATTAAGATCCCAGGGGACTGGTGCCTCCTTTCTCAACTCTGGTCCCCTCTGCCTTTCCCAAGGATGTTGGTGCCCATGTCTGTGAACCCGGAGGCTGATTTGACTGAATTCCTGGGCTAACCCAGTGCCCAGTGTGTGGGTCCCAGGAGGTACCCAGTAAGGGCTGGATAAAATGCATTTGTTGAAGGCAGGGGTGGCCTTGGTGGGCAGATGGGCCAGGTCACCTGGGAGATGGGAAGGGGGCATTGGTTGGGGAGGAGGACAGGGCAGCCTTCAGAGCCAGAGCTCTTCAGTGCAAAGTGGAGGAGGCCAATTACAGCCTCCTGGAGAATTAGAGGTCCTGGTGAAGATTGTACATTAACTATGGGTCGGAAGGACCGGAGGGGTTCAGGGAGTAGACTCAGGGGTTCAGGGAGTAGACTGCCTGCCAGCAAGGGAAAGCAGGCCAATGCCACTGCCTTATCCCTCACCCCAGGGGGAGCAGCAGAGGCCAGGGCTGGAGTAGCTGATTAGGGCCAACAAAAAGTGGAGGATTTAATGTGGCTTCAGGCCAGTGGCTAGGAAGAACTGGCCTTGGGTACACAGGATGGACCCGTCAGGATCTCATGTCATCTCTTAAAAATCTTTTTTTTTTTTTTTTTGAGACGAAGTTTCACTCTTGTTACCCAGGCTGGAGTGCAATGGCATGATCTCAGCTCACCACAACCTCTGCCTCTCAGGTTCAAGTGAGTCTCCTGCCTCAGCCTCCTGTGTAGCTGAGATTACAGGCATGTGCCACCACGCTTGGCTGATTTTGTATTTTTAGTAGAGATGGGGCTTCTCCATGTCAGTCAGGCTGGTCTCGAACTCCTTACCTCAGGTGATCTGCCCACCTCGGCCTCCCAAAGTGCTAGGATTACAGGTGTGAGTCACTGCACCTGTTGAAGATCTCTTTTGAGTACCCAGAGGGGTGGCCCCAGACCCACAGAGAGTAGACTGGGGGAGTGCAGGTGAACTGGGTCTTGGAGCTGAGCTTTCAACATTTGTCAAAGTGCCTCTTCCCACCCACGGCTGGGCTTTGGTGCCCCATTTGGAGCTCCAGGGCCTGTGGACCTGGATCACCTGG